GTTTGGTTAAAGAAAAGAAAGTCAATCAATCAGGAGAAAGATGCTCAAAAATTTCTTTCAATACTAATATTGAAGAAATTTCAATTTTTCGATGTGCTCGTTAAACATTATATTCTTCCGTTGCGTTCTTCAAAGTCAACCTTTTTTTATTATGCTTGTTATATTTTCTTCACGGATAATTTGTATATGACATTCCTTCGTAAACGAATCATGGTTCGATTTCTCATCCTTGAGTTCGCTTTCGGTAGAGGCTACCGGTGCTATTTTCAATTCTTCACTTTCACATTCCGCTGTAATGTTTAGTAATGCTTTCTTCAACACAAAAGAACTGGTACGCGGACTCAATTCCTTGTCGTCCATATTTTCCTTATTTTTATGCAATTCTTTGACACTAAAGCGGTAGAAAAAATCCTTAGATTTTTTATTTTCAATTTGACAATCTTCTCCTTTGACTCATTTGTGATTGAAAAAAATAATTTCTTCCACTCCTACAGGACACTTATGATCTTTAACTTGTTTAACTTGGGAGTGTGGCTCGATCTTGAAGTTTTCGATTACAGTTTCCATATACAAGGAATTAGTAGGTTTTGGATTTTCAACTTGCACATGTTTTTCATTTTCCGTTTTAGTATCATAGACGTTAACATCTTGATTATTTTGAATTACATTTTTTTTAACCTCATCATCTGCCTTATGGATCTTTTTCTCTTTGTTTACACTAGTACTCATAAATTGTTCGTAACATGACACCAAAACAACCTTCTTATCATACCACTGAAACACATACCTATTATCTCGACCTATATAAGTGTTATCTACATCGTAGTACCATGGTTGTCCTCAAAGTATATGACAATCGTCCATCTCTACCACGTTACATATAATCTCATATTTGTAATATTTTCCAAGAGAAGTAAAATTTTACATATCTCCATATTTAGAATTTCTTACCTCTGTGAAGTTTGATAGCAAAATGAGTATTTTTCGGTCTTCAAATTTAAAGCTTTCACCAATGTTTTGGACACCAAGTTCTCACTACTCTTATGATTTATTATTACTTTGCATACTTTGTTATTTATGGTTCATCGTGTTTTAAAAATTTTATTACGCTTCAAATTGGACTCTTTTATATTTTCTTGATAGAGTTTCGTAAAATCCTATGACTTGTGTGTATTTAACTTTAACTGGGACTTGAGGAAACTCTCTAGCCATTTGTTACTGTATTTTAATCTTGTTGAAGCAACCAACATTCACAGCAGTTAAAGTCTGAAAATTCTTATCAGCTTACTTCTCCATGGGCTCGTGATTCATTTCAAAACTTATCGCAGTCAGCATCTGCGTGATGTTATAAAGGGTTTCATCATCCCCTCAATTCGTTGTTCTAGTTTGTCAAGCCTCCATTCTTTGTCGACAGTTCAACTGCCACCAGTACCTTCGTCAATCATCATATTGAGTCAATTTCCTTGTTCTGATATCAATTTTGGTGCTTATGCGTTTATGAAATTTTTGTAATAAGAATTATGTAGTAATTAAGAACAATATTGAAATAATTTGCTTGAATGTTATTGAATAATAATTGATGTTGAAAAAATGTACAATGCATCTATATTTATAGGAAAAATTATTTCATAATTCTATTAATACAAGGAAACTAAATTCTAAAAGGAAATAAATTAATCCTAATCTAAATCAAATTTAAGAATAAACCTATTACAATTAGAAAAAGAAATTAGAAAAGATAATTTAAAAAAGACAAACTCCTAGNTAATCCTAATCTAAACAAGACTTGAGAATAAAACATATTACGACTGGAAAAGGAAACTAGAAAAGATGATTAAAAAAAAAAAAAGACAAAACTCCTAAATAAAGTGACACTATTAATTGTAGTTGCGATGTACTACATCAAGTTGGTTGTTCTTCGTAGTTTTCTGCTGGTTGGAGCTTGTCAGATGCATGTGTGTCCATTATTATGTGAGAGCATAATATTCTGGATGTCTCGCCACGAGAAAGATATTTCTTATCTTTTGTCAATGGCCATGTGGTACGAGAGAGGGGACATTGGATTTGGTGACATGGTACTTTTCAATCAACGATTTCATTGTTGCTCTCAATACTTGAAACATTGAATTAGCTCGACTATGTTTGGAAAGTGTTTATAGATGGTTTTGTTTATAAATAGATAGAAACGGTTGGGCAGTACTTGTGGAAATATGTGGATAAAAAGTGGTATGAATGTCATCAAACATGATCTAAACATTTGCTTTAGGACAGAAATCAAGATTCATCATTTGTATTCAATATTGAAGATGAATGTGTATACATACACAGTTAGTAGGTTTTAATGTGTATATATACACAAGTTTTTAAAACCTATCCTCTTTAAATCTTTCTATGGAGGTTTCAACTTTCTGTGTATGTCCTTGTAGGTGATTGGATCAGGATTAGACAAGGAGAGAATACCTGGCATAGATATTGCTTTGAACGACGGGGACAAATGGATGTTTGCAAGCCATGAGGTGCTTGTGATGGCAACTCCTGGTCATACACGAGGTTGTGTTTAAATATTTTCCTTCAATGCATAATGCTTTTGATTTGTTAGATAAT